AATTTTAATCTACTCCAAGTTGGTTTGGAGTCAAACCGGAGCCACTCTGGAGTGACCTACTCCATTTAACAACCCTAGTCGCCGTATCAACATACTGGATCTCAAAATTATCATGCTATATTGGTATTATAGTTCGGCGGTCATTGATCATAAATTCTACTATTTATGTTTTTTAAAACATCTTTAATTCGTATAGTGCAAAATAATATAAGTATGGATGACGTAGTAATTCATTGTCTTATAAGTGAAGTCTTTCAAATCTTGGATTATTTTGGATTAATATTAACAGTGAATATTAACATTCGCTAGGAATGCGATTTTTTTTTAGTGAAACGTTACGTTCTTAAGTACTTTAAAGTGTATAAATAAGTTACCCGGACAATTTATTTACATCAGCCAATCAGATAAAAGTCGCCCACCTCTTAAATATATTTATATATTTCAGCATTACTTAATATACGTAAGATTGATATTTTATTATATGTTACGCAACAGATAAAAATTTGTATGGCTTTAAATATACGTGTCCTGCACTGTAGTGTTTCGCATATTGAGTGAACTAACTAATTGGGATGCAACCAGCACTTCTTTATTGGTAGTTTAATAATAATTGTAATGGTGAAATTTTGTTTTTTGAAGAAAACATAAAATATTGTAATATGTAAATATAATAGTAATAAGATAGATCATTATTGCAAAAAAAAAATCTATTTATTTATAGGCGAAATTTATTGATAGTTATCCAAATGTGATTTGAGATCCACCACCAGGTTGTTTCAGAACACTGAAATAAACAAATAAAAAAATTAATATTAAATCGGATTTAAATATATAATTTAATTTAATACTTACCGGCTTGAAGTCCTAATGTTATTGCGAGAACCATCATCAATAATTCCGGTAGTGGGTTCATATTGGTTTTTACCACGTCTCTTGCCACGGCTTGCCCCAACATTTTCAACCTCCCCACCATCATCACCAATAACAATTTGTGATGCATTTGATTGAGGATTAAGCTTTTTTTGAGAATAATGTATAGGATCATAATTCGGTTGAGCCTGATCATCGCCAATAGAAAATTGTGATTGATTTTTGTTCGAATTGAATCTGCGGTTTGTCACATCTATTTAAACAAATACAAACAAAAATTTATATCGAGAGCTTACAAATATTTTAATCATCATAAATTTCAGAATAAAAACAACAAATATTTACGGTCATCCGGTTCAGAGTTGAAAATCGAGGATTTACCACCCGTACCACCAGGTTGATTAACACGACTACTGGTGTGAACGTTCCGACGGCCAGAAGATATTTCTAAATAATTTTAAATAATTATTTAATAAACGTTATATATGAATATATCATTTCTAATATAAACAAAAAATATTATACAAGTAAATAACGCATACGATTAGGATTCATGCGAGCAGCTGCTGACTCGATTTTACCAAATGGATTGAGAAGAGTATTTGAAATGTCTTTCACAGCATCTATTTGTCTTTCACCTAAAACAGGCCATGTATTCTTTTCACCAATTCTAAATGAAGTAAATATATAAATAATTACGTTTAACTATGAGGGTTATAGCATATTAAATATAATCACAATTTAAGCTGTTTCAAAACGGTTGCTTGATCCCAATAGACGCGCTTTTAAGTATTAAAGACAAGTGTTTATAAGTCCAAAATCAAAAAAGTAACAAAACACTAATATGACGATCACTTACTATAGAGGAGATTTTATCATCTTCGAATGTTGCCACGGTTACCTAAAAAAGAATAGATATATTTTATAATTAACTTTAATCTTACAAAATGTGAAATTTCCCTCTAATTGGTGGGAATTTTCGTGAGCACAGAATAATTTAAATTAATTAATAACTAAAAATTAAACATTTAATAATATTTACCGTTGGAAAAACGATGTGGTTATCGATTGTATACCTGCTATCAACCCCCGGCACAATCCAAGCACCTTCGCCAGAAACAAATTTAATTGTTGTTTCGGACTCTTCGACAATAGAGTTTTGACCAACGGTTTTATACAGGACTTTCTCTTTCACATCAAGTAGTTTAGAATCGTAAGCGGCAAAGAGAAAATTTTTTGTAGCTTCAATTCCTCTAGCACCAGCTGCAGTGGGCACAAAAGCTACAGAGACGCCCTCGGTGAAAAAATCACCATCACGTTGCTGTTTATACTCATTCCAAACTGTTTCAATACTCATAATTAAAAGCCTTTAGAACTAAAACAAATTTAAACACTCGTTAAATACTCGTATTAACCTTCAAGTTTTATATATAGTTTTTTTCTAGTATAAAAAATTCATATGAAAATTATATAATGTTTGAACGCGACACATACAACAAGTTCGATATTAGTTTATACGCGTCTTCAAGGAAAAATGAAGACAGTAAACGTAAAAATTCTAAAAGTTCAAAAATGGTTTGTAGACAATAGATATATGATAATGAAACTGTTACACGGAATGTACTTGCACAAAGAATATCTTTTTTGTGACTAATTAGGAATTTAGCATAATATGCACAAATTTATCTAATACGCGATTCATCTCGTGACTGGTAATTGATAAATTTTATGCGTTTTATAATAAATATCTTTAATTTTGATCTCGTAACATATTGTACGTACTGGTTTGTTAATTAATTTCTCTTTTAATAATTAATTATTTTAGTATAACATCAACTATCCATTTCTCCAGGATTATTCATTTCACTTATCTGTTATATAGTATTATCACTTATTACGTGAACTCACATATAACTCACACTATGAGAGTATGAGAGTTAGCTCTGTTGATATAAACATCGACCTTCTGACATGAAACGACAATATTACTTACTAGTTCCTTTGTTCTGTGTTATATACAATGATACAAAAATATGCCTAAAATGATCAAAAATTTATAAATGTTACTACAGTAAATCTAAAAAAATAAATAATGTTTATTTCGTTTTTGGTATATTGTTTACTATAATTCGTTAAGATTTATTTATTTATAAATTAAAAATTGCTAAAAGTGTTAAGAATTATGATAAACCATAGAAATTCATTAATTTTGGTAGGCATTCTTGAAATGTGTGTACATTTATAGATAATACTGTGTGTCCGAACTAAATATTTAATTTATAACTTATACTATAAAAAATATAAACATTATGTAACTTAATATTGGTTGTATAATAAAAGAATAATAATTCGGTCCAAAATCATAGCATCACTGGTTTAACCATTTAATTTCATGTAGTTTATAATGCTTATTATACAGTAGCATGGTTTAGGCTATTCCAAATAGTTTGGATGGCAACTATATTCGCGAGCATTGACGACTTTGTCGTAATATTTAGTGCCCAGAATTATAATAACAGATAGGACAAATATTATCTGTTTAAAAAAATATTACTATTGGATTATAATTAGATTTTTGTTACGTATTAAAAATAAAAAAAAGAAACTATAGTTAGGCTGCGCAAATAAATAAAATTGGTTCTCGTTACCCAGCCGGTTGACTTGAAATTTTTTTATACGTAGTATTAATCTCCGTCTATCACTTTTAACAAATTTTATTGGCTAATATTAAGTCTCGTGATCTGCTCATCTCTCATATTGATTATCCTTGCAGAGATATCGTATTTAGTGATCAACTTAGCGCAGAGTTCAGCCATAAAAAAATTTCTATCGTTAGACTTTTATGTCTTAGCAAAGAATTTAATCTAATCGTATTGTTCAATATTGATTTAAACGATGCTTCAAAAGACGAAGTCTTCTTGTATTTCAATAGGCCTTGCACGTATATTTAAAATTGGGAAATAATGTAGTGTGTTTATTATGAAATAAAAATCGAAAATTATTTCCGATTGATTTACCGGATTTGACTTGATAGTAATGTATATAAGTTATTCACCCAATAATGTATACATATGTGTCACATATATACTGTATATCATCGATTAAACTGAATCTGATAAATAATATACTGTAAATGAAGTCTTTTTTTTTACTTGGCAATGATTCCTATACATCTGGATTCATACATTTAAATTTTATTATTATTTCAGCTAACTTTTTACGTATCTTTTTTATTCACTTTCAATTAAACTATCCTATATTATTACGATCGTTACGCATTAATAATTATCAATTACGCACATGATAATCACGACGTATCAATTATAATTCTGAAGGATGGACAAAGAATTGAAATTAATCGCCCCATGATTAAACGGTTAATTAATATAAAATTTTTTAGGAGGTTTCAATTCTATGTATAAACCTTTAAACTAAAACAAATATAAATTAAGCCTTAAAAAATCTAAACCAAAATATAAAAAGATCTTACTGTATACTGATATTGTATTTTAAATAAATATATATATATATTTAATTAAGTACGAAGTGTCATACGGTGCAAATCATCTAAAGACATCCAAAATTATAACTCTTCAATGAATATTTGAAAATTTGTAAAAAAAAAAAACGTAATATTGTAGTCCTAAATAAGTTCTACAAAGTTACGTTTTTTTTTTTGCCAATTTGAACTTAT